TACTGCGCTTGACATTGAGCATCTAACAGCGACTCACTGCCAACACAAAGCGTTGACTACAGATGTTTATGCCATTAGACCTCATTTAAGTGAGCGAGGACAAGAGCTTGCCACAAGGCTGAAGTTTGAGAAGAGGCTTCTTCTCTGTGAGGGCGCCCTTAGGTCCAGTCTGCTGGGCTCTCTTACTGACGATGGTGACAATGAAATCTTCCAATGTGACTGGGAGGCACAGGAGCAGACCAATATTTTCAAGCTGCTCGGGCTGGGTGAGTCACGGGACTGTGTTGACCAGGTCCACATTGCCGGCGGCCACATCATGACTCTGTACTCGTCATCACAGAACTTTGTTACCTGCTTCTATCTGTTATTCTGACATGTATGCTAGCTATTTACCGCCGTCAAGGGTTGCAGTCCGATGCTGCTGCATGATAACTAACGTAATGTTTCATTGTTCTTTGCCCCTCTATTTGTTTTCAATGCAGATGTATTTTAGCTCTTGAGTGTCGAGGAGGCAGAGCAGTGTCTTGAAGCTGTTTCAAGCAGCAGCCGGACCCCATGACCAATGGATGTCGAGCGCTGGACCAGATCACCTAGCAGCAAATCAGAAAGTGAGTTCCTGTCAAAATTTGTGTTGGTTTCATTTCAGGGTTACAAATAGGCTGGTTGGGTGCTCACCAAGAATGCATGGTTTTGCGACATCGTGTTAATTGTGTGCTTCAGTATAGCAACCTGTCCATTTTTACTCCACTAAGCCTATATGTCTATAACTAACTGACTGACACATGTCCCGCTGCTGTTGCAGTCAACCACCTTGGACATGGTGAAGCAGTGGGCGACAGATGTGGGCGGTGGAGATTACAACAGCCATGATGACAGCAAAGGCCACCTCAAAGCGCAGCCGTTCTGGACCTGATGTCGTCTTGACTGAAGCGGATCATGGAAACAAAGGCGAAGGGGAAGGGGGGCAAGAAACGACGGTGGTAATGGATGCACGTTTATTTTGGGGTGGATGCACATGCAATGTGATGGACAGCTGCATTGTCTTCTTTTGTGGAGGTGCCTTTTCTTAGGGCTGAAGGCACGTTCGTATCACATGGTGGACAGGGTCTTGAGACGGCTTGGCTTATAAGCAAATCCGTATTAAGACACTGTTCATCATGTGATAAGAACACGCCTTACTAGTTAGGATTGGAGGCGCGTCCATATGGCGCGATGGACATTATGAAAAAGCTTAATTTGGGTCTGAAAGGGGCCTTCATATCACGTGATGTATATGTTTCATTTTATGGAGACGGCTTCTTTTTGGACTGAAAGGGCCCTTCATATCACGTGATATATATGTTTCATTTTATGGAGACGGCTTCTTTTTGGACTGAAAGGGCCCTTCATATCACGTGATGGACATGGGCTCGTTTTATGGAGACCACCTTCATTTTGGACAGAAGGGGTATTCAAAGCGTAAGGGACGTTCATTCTGAGCTACCTTCATTATGTAATGAAGTGGTCCTCATTCTAAATTGACCCGGGGCCCTCGATTTGGTGTGGAATGAAGGGTACCTTCATGAAGGTATGAAGGGTCTTCATTAAGGTGTGAAATGAGTGTGAATCGCATATAGAATGAAGGCTCCAGGTTCCCAGAGTGCAACTGGCCAATTATTCCATTTCTTCCAGGCTCAGACCCCCATTTATTCCCAAAAAAGTAATATATTACCAAAAAAATAAACACTGGTGTCACTGCGGTGGGAGATGTGCTTTGTTGCAGCAGTACTGATGGTGTGGGAGCTAAGCTTGCACCGGCGGAATCGTCAGCACTGCCTGCGGGCTCCACACGAATCACATCCATCCCGGGTGCATGCCGCATGGACAGTGCGGCAGACCGCAAGCCGGAATGCCCGTGCGGGCAAAATGGTAACGCAAGCTGAGTGAAGTTCGGTGTTGTCTGTGATGTTTATCCCTGAAGCGCCTCGGCAATTCGCCCCACAGTCGCGAGCTTCATCATGGCACACCACAAGTCTTCGGAGGCCCAGTGCATTGGCCAAAGTAAATGTACGAACAAGCAGCTTGTGTATTTCATATAGAAATGAAAGCAAATTTGTTGGCCTGCTGGTGGCATGTCGGATTGCTCATGCCGGCAAATGGTAACACAAGCTGGGTGTTTGAGTTATCATACGCCGTCACCTAAGAATTTAAATATGAGATACGCGGCAGCTGTCGGGATGAAATTTATACCGAGAATATTTCATCTGATTACCTTGCCCTGTGTGCAGGGGATGACGGTTGCCAGGGGATTGAGAGAGGACACAATGGCCGTGAGCTCCTCCCGCTGAGCGTCATTCAGCATATCCGTCTTGTTGAGAACCATAAACTCCGCACATATGCGTCACATGAAGTAGCGTTCTGTTGGAAAGTGACGGATACTCGTATATAAGAGAATGGTGACCAAAAGCAATAGGATCCGGTTTGCTGTGACTTAACAGTGTTGCGTTGGAAACATGGGCATGTACACACACATACACATCTTCAAGAGCATAAATACAACGATAAAGCCGCAGCTGTCTCCTTGACCCTTGCAACCCCCCAAAACATAATGCTACCTGCCTTGCGTTTACCTCCCCTACACCTTCCCTAATATGGCGTCCTCTACCTTCATAATAATGATTTCGGCAGTTTGTTAACGTATCCGGTATTGTTTGGCCTCCATCTGGTCCCAACTCACTCGATTTGCTCCACCAGCAGGTCCACTACCGGCCTCAGCCCCCCCCCCTCCCCGAGGTCGGGCCGCTGAGCCTAACATGCATGAGTCGACCACTCCTGTGACAGCAGCTGCTGCTGCTCCACGTTCAAGGACGCTTCCCGATCCTGGCTGCAACTTCTATATCTCATGCTTAAACACGGACAGCTGCAACTTCACCTCCTCGAAATCGATCTGTGGATGGCAATCGTGCCTGTGCTTCGTCTCGTTCAGGCAATCCATGAAGTAATCCCTCAGCGCCTCAAACACCACCCCACCCCACTCATCCACCTCCTCCTTTTCGGGGTACTCAACGGTATCAAACAGTGCCAGTGCCAGTGCTGCTATTAGGAAACCATCGATCGAGATATTTGACGAGATTCCTGGGGAACTCCTCGAAGAGGTTGTGCATGATAATCTGGTGACTCAGGGACATTCGACAGGGGGTTGACCATGAAAGGATCTGAACCCCGTCGTCACCATAAGGTGCCAAAAGGACTTCAGGGCAGGAGTTGTTGTTACAGGGTGGTACAGCTACACCAGTGGCCCCCTTTCCTGAGGCAATTCCCTGCTCGCCCCAGCTAGAGGGGCACCCTAATCCATTCACCCCATCCGACTTCAAAATCTACTCATTGGATTTGGCACCTCACCACCAGCATCCAACCAAATCTAGCGGATCTACAGCGCCACAACTTATTTCATGGTCAGCTTGCAAGCTTCTGTTATCACGTCCTTCACCATCCATAAGATGAGGGGCCACACAACTCACACTCTGAGGGGACAGCAGGTGGATTTGAATCGGGGATCTCCGGGAGCAGAAGTCAGGCCTGGGATTGTGTGCTGCCCTGGGTGAACATGCCGAAAGAATAAGCAATTTGCTGAAGATCATGTATAGCATAGCCCGCATGGAACTAATCCCTGATATGCCAAATTCCACAATTGACCAAGTCAAGTGATGCGGCAGCTGCAAGTCATGATCACCAGTACAGTCGCTAAACCTGTGATACTTTATCAATGAAAACCGTCGCCGAATTGTGTACAGGTGGTCGTCAGTCTTTTACATAGTCAAACACAGAGTTCAAGTCGAGCCGCAATAGAGGCTGCAAATCACGTCTTTTGAATGGATGGATGAATGGTTATTACAAGCCTCACAAGGTTGTATGGTCCAAACGAACTAACTCGAAGCAATGCTCATGATGAGCCGGATAAACAATACATATGTCCACCTGGGTGTACCGATATACACAACAGTTTCATACATGGACATACCGTGCAGTGACATGTTGCTTATATATGTTGAAAGCAACAAATCCAGGAAGTGTAAGCGAATGCATGTATGGGCGATCCGAGGCAGTCATGCAGTTCGTCGCACGGTGGCGGACTACTGCTGAGAAGAAGAAGATGCTTGTACACAGCAAAGGCGTAACCCGGGATGCTCAGATTGGCCTTGCATCGTTACAATGCCCCCCGCTCAGCAATTGACGTCCACGGCCATTATGTCGAGCGTCAGAGCCATCCCATCTCACGCATTGTGCGCTGGTTTATCCATATCACTATGGAATCGTCAAGTTACGATAATTACTGATTGCCAGAAGCAAACTGCCGACCTGTAGTTTATATCGGAAGTTGCGTGGCCCCGTCTCGATACCATTGTAACACAGCAAAAGTGTAAACCGGATGCTTGAGTTGGCCTTGTGTCATTACGTTGCCTAACACTTAGCCTCCTTCGTAGTCGAGGGCCTCTCCTCCCACAGCCTTGCAACCCAACCCTTCCGCAGACAAGTCGGGTGTCGGCTTCCTTGAAGCCGGATAAAGGCGGGGCCCCCTGCATCCATACAGGCCGGTAGCTAGCGCGGCATGTGTGACAATTGATGGGTAGTGTCAACGCGGTGGGAGATGTGCTTTGTTGCAGCAGTGCTGATGGTGTGGGAGCTAAGCTTGCACCAGCGGAATCGTCAGCACTGCCTGCGGGCTCCACGCGAATCGCATCCATCCCGGGTGCATGCTGCATGGACAGTGCAGCAGACCGCAAGTCGGAATGGTAACGCAAATGTTAACGCAAGCTGGGTGAAGTTCGGTGCTGTCTGTGATGTTTATCCCCGAAGCGCCAGCGGCCTCAGCAATCCGCCCCACAGCCGCAACTGTGGGGCAGCTTGCATATTTCATAGAGAGATGTAAGCAAATTTGTCGCCCTGCGGGTGGCAAGTCGGAATGCCCATGTGGCCCCCGGGCAAATGGTGACTTCTGTGCTCCTGTCTCCCTTAACCGTCTTCTCGTGCCATGGCCCTTACACTGCAGGAGAACTCAGCCTCAGCCAACCACGGCCACGCGACTGCGGCTCACCAGCCGCCACACAACTACCGCGCGACCAACACACCCCTACAGGGCAACACGCGCGCGACAGAACAGCACAAAACGCGAGCCTAAGGACCGCCCAAAAAGCCACCTGAATGAGACTCACGCACCATGAACGAACTACCAAAGAAAAGAAAAAAAGGGGGGGGCCCCTGGACTGAACCAGCAACGAGCCCTAGCCAACCGGGGCTCCCCAAGGCCGCAGTGCGGAGCTAGAAAGGCGAAAAACGCGATGAAGAAACCCTCCCCAACCCTCCTTCTGTCGACTCGCCGACTTTCCAGCCGCCCCTCAGTGGGCGTCTGCCGCTGGCCCACTGCTGGCCGAGCCCGGCGTGGAGTTGTCTGCAATTGACCAGCATTAAGGAAAGGGGTGGTTGGAAGCGAGGGGGTAACCAACGAATACCACGGGGGAAGGTGGGTGGGGAATAGTTAACTGCAAGCTGAAGCTCTACTGAGTGAAAGGCAGAATGCCTGCAACGAAGGAGCTGAAGCGTGATATACTCGCCACTCGAATACGGTTGTACGACAGTCGCACAGAACCAAACTTAGAGGCTATGACAGCTTCGCTCCGTCGCATCTAAGTCAACAATTCTGTGCTCCTATCTCCCTTAACCGTCTTCTCGTGGCTCTGACTCTGACGTACTTGCTAACCGTGCTTGGAATGGTGGAGACGGGAAGTAGGGAGACCGGCTGCCATGGCCCTTACACTGCAGACCGAAGAGATACCCGTTCATTGGCGAGGCCAAGGCGGCGGGAGACCTCCAGTTTGGCCGCAGTGTCGCACCGCGTGTAGTGCTGTACCATGGCATCTGTGCGCCAGCAGCCATGTGCCTTGCGCAACTCTGCCGGCACTCCACGGTCTGCACCTATGCCCATGGAGTGCGCCTTGATGTGATGCGTGATGCCTGCCAGGGATACCATTCTCAGTAGCCGTGTGCGGAAAGCCGCGTACGACAAGGAGTGCACTGGTGCCTCCCATGTGCCAGTCAGTGGGCCCGAGAGGTATCCACCACGCTGCATCCATTGGACTGGTCTGAGAAGCGGTCCCACATCTACATCTGCTGTCGATGGTCTTCTGCAGTAGCCACCTTGCGCCAGCAGGCGTTCTGTAAGTCCGACGGGACAGCAGGGACCTCCAGAGTGTGCAATGACAACCCAGTGGCCTCGCATCAGCTGGTCCGTCTTCGAACGAGGAATGGAAATCTCCATGTGGGATGCTGAAATTAGAAGATCTTCGTGCACGCAAATTTCTGCGGCATCATCAAACCGGAGAAAACCGCCAAACATGATGGCCACCGCGGCCACCATCATTGAATAATCTAGACGCACCTCAGGACCTTCCACTATGCAGGCCAGCGCTGCGATGTCTTCTGGCTCCAAGGCATCACGCGCTGCAGCGGTTTACCATGGAGCCGCTTTTCCGCTAAAGTCCGGACGATGCCACATGCAGTGTGATCTGTGGGCGTTGCTTTTCCTGCCATGCGGAAGTAGGTGCTGATTGCCACACTAGCCAGGCGAACACGGCCGGGCCCAACACCATCAGCCTGAGACGTGTTCAGCAGGGACAGCAAGTAAAGAGCTACCAGCTCTCCAGGAGTGGAATAGATGTCGCCCGGAAAATTGTGAGCCTCCCACCAGCAGCGATACTGGCGCCACGTGGCGGCATACTCCTTAGTAGTCCTGGCCACCAATGATTCTGGTGCCTCCTGCGCCAGTTGTGTGGCGAGGGCTTGGAGGTCGGCGGTGGCGTCGTCCCCCAGGGGCCCCAACAAGGCCCCTGCACATGCCGCTAGATCTGCGGGAGGCGGGCGACCAGGTCAGCGGGGACACGGATGCGTGTTTTGCTGGGGCCGGAAAAATCTAAGAGAAGGGCCAGGGTGGGCCAAGCCGATGCACCTTTAAGGGTCGCGTTGCCGGGACCCGGCAGGAATAGGTCCGCTGCCTGGCCTAACATCATGACCTCGTGGATGAAAGGTTCAAACCAGACGCCGTCTGCAGTGATCCTGGCCCACCAGTCCCTGGTCAGCCAGTACTGTGCGATCAGGCACACGCGGGCCTTGCATGCCTTTGCATGCAGCAGCACCTTAAGGATCCGGCTGAAAGAGGGATTGGCCCAGCAGCTGCGGCCCCATGCAAAGCGGAAAGCATCCACCCTTGCAGTGTCCGGCGTGAAGAACCTCGAGTAGTACACGGGGAGCTGTCGGTTGGTATGTGAAGCGAACAAATCTATATCGAAAGGCCCCCACTTGGCGTCCAGCGAGCGAAAGACGGCGGGTTGGAGCATCCAGTCGTCTGTGTCCTTCAGTTTTGACAGGAAATCGGCAAGTCTATTTTCTTCCCGGGGCCGCCACTCGGCCTGCAGGCGGATGTTGTGCTCGAAGCAAAATTCATGCAGCTCGCATGCCACCGTGTAGGAGTTGTCAGCTTCTGCGGAACCCTTGTTGATGATGTTTGCAGTGTTGAGGTTGACCTTAACTGCCCGGCCCGTGGGGCTATTGAAGGACTGGATGGCTAGGAGGATGGCGCGGAGCTCCTGCGGTGTGGATCCCATCCTGCTAGCTTCCGTCTGCCAGCTGCCTCTGGCCACTGCGAGCTTGCCGTCTAGAACCGTCCAGGCGCCCCAGCCGCCTAAGGAAGCTGCAGACTTGCCAGCCGCATCACAAAAGATCAAGATCAAGGAATGCACCTGGGTGGGAACCCATAGGTGATGACGGCCGTTAAATTTATCGAAGGATTTCAGCCAGAAATCTAGCTCCTCACGCGCTGCTGGGGACAAAGAGGGGTGGGACCCCCACGTTGATCATGAGTCGATGAGCTTGCCCAGCGCACGGGTTCACAGCCGTGACCAGGGCCCGAAGGCCCAGGACATCGAGAGGATTTGCCCTTTAAGAGAAGCGAGAGCCTTCACAGGTACTTTATGACCACTGAGTGTCACGCGGATTGCAATAAGGAGTTTGTCCCTCTTATCCTCCGGAACAACAAAGCCCCCTTCCGCAGTGTTGATGAGCATTCCCAAGTAGCGGATTCTCTGCTGAACCATGCCGAGCATGGATTTTTTCCGGTTGACTAAGAAACCGAGGGCTTCACCACCACAGCCCGCTGTGCTATCAGCCGGTCTGCGTCCTGGTCGGCGTGGGCTTGGTTGTCGATGTAACCAGTGCAGCGCCATCCGTGTGCACGCCAGGGGTGCATGACCTCGTGCATGAGCCCAGCACGCGGATGCTAGGCCGAAAGGTAGCTGGGTGAAGACGTAAAACACGCCCCGCCAACAAAATCCCAGGTATTCCCAGAAGGATGGGTCGATGTCTAGATGGTGGTAGCCGCGCTTGAGCTCGATAGTGAACATAAAATCATTTGGGAGCAGCCAGCTGGGCACTGCCTTGAGGTCTTCATAGCAAAACTCCGGAAAAGAAAGATTTTGTTCACCGGGCACCCATCCCAAATGAGCCGACACTAAGTCGTTTGCTGAACCACACCCAAGGGGCAGACCACATGCGGTTGTGTCGGCCAAACTCTAGCCATGCCAGAGGCCACCAATCCTGCGACTGGTCGGTGAAGGCTGCGTGCTCGTTAGCAGAGGCGTGATTCTGGCCGGACAAGGGTGGGGGTGAGGACCCCTTCTCCCACCGCAAGGGAAAAACGCTGATAATCCAAGATAGAACAAGAGTGTTGGTCACCCACGCTTTCCACGCGGGTAGGCAACGCCGGAGCCTGCCGTGCATCTGAGCAGGTGCCGGGAGCTGTGAGCACGGGACCTCGGGGGGTGACTGGTCGCCACCGGAGAGCGTGGCTACGTATTCACCTATCTCGTCACCCCAGGGCCCATGCTGTTTGTTGGGCCCACCTTTCACGTCATCGGCGGAACGCACTGGTTGTTTTCTGTGCAGAATAGGCGCGGTGTTGGCAGGTGCTTGGGTGACAACCGGGCGTCTTGCTTGGCCCGATTGAACTGCTAGCAGTTTATCTGGCTGGGTATCACTTGACAGGTCTGCTACTGGCTCGTGTGTGGCGCTGGAGGACCTCTGTTGCCCAAACTGCTGGGCGTTTCTCTCCAGCGAGTGTTGCACGTCCTTGATTATAGCTGGGTCGAACTCTATGTCCTCACTAATCAGACTGAGAAAGGTGTCCATGTCGGTGTCGGCCATGATGCGATAGTAGTGATTGTGCTGTCCCTTATGCAACTGTGAAAACAAAGCGAAACGAGACGAATGGCAGAGGCAAGGCACACCAAGGGAAGGAGATCGCTACAAGGAGTACATGGACGCGGACCCAAACCGCTAGGAAACGAAAAGCGAGACGACGGCTAGATTACAACAAAGGACGTCCTTCTTCACCGGCTGGCGGGCCACCCCGCCACGGGAACGCCTGAAAGACGGCTTGCACTCTCACTACGAGTCAAGAGCGAAATAGCAAACGGACTCAGTCTCTGACAGACAAGACTGCTGGCCAGTCGGCCCGAACGTCTGAAAGCAACGACCGCCGATGGTCCCATTGGAAGATAAGAAAACCGAACAACGTTGTTCATGCCACCGAACCTCGGGTGCACTCGGCCTGTGCCTGCCGCAATACAAGCCGAGTGCACCCGAGGTTCGGTGGCATGAAAAACCGGGCAAATAAGGATGCACACGGGCGTGTTTATGAACTCCGCAAAGATTCTGGGTCCTCCATCAACATAAGCAGCAAAGCGACGACGAGGACGAAGCGCATGCGGGCGCGCAAAAAGAAGAGGCCAACGCGCACGTGGGCGCACCACGAACAATTGAACACCAAAGCGCGCGTGGGCGCGGCCAACTAATCATGATTTTTTTCCCAAACGACGGCGCGTGGGCCTATGTGTGGTGCGTCAACGGCGCCTCTTCTAATCTCGCGAGTTGCGGCCAAGGTCATCCTCGCGCCTCCTGGTGTTATATCTAGGGTTGTGCCGACCATTAGAAATAGAATTCTAACGTAGAATAATTCTAATGAGAAATCACCCTATAAATGAGAAGGGCCTGCTTCTGGGATTAGAATGAGAAAGCTGTACGACAGCCTGGATCCTGCATTAGAATCGCCAGAAATAGAGGCTTGTGCATTATAATACTTGCACATTAGTACCTTACCTACAGATGTTACTCCGGGTCAGCTATGGCAGATCAAGCGGACAAGCCTGACACAAAGCAACCTGACCATCAGCCCGACAACATTGAAGTTTACAAGTATGGTGACAAGAATTTAGACGCCCCTGCCTACGCTAACGTCCTCAAAGAAGCTAAGGCAAAGCAGCGCGCGTCGTGGTGGGTTCGTTTCAACATCCTGCTGACAACTGGCGCTGTGTGGCTCCAATGCGTCCGCTGCAACAAGATCCTTAGCGCTAAGAACCCGTCACAAGTTTGCTCTCAGCAAGTCAGAGCATGCGATAAGAAGCTGATGGAGGCGGCTGCAGGAGGCTCCAGAATGCCTCCCTCGCCCAGCCCGCAGCCTGGGCCTTCCACCACCCCCTCCACCGCTCCCCCTGCTGCTCCCTCCAACGATCCGTCCGCCGGCCTGTCCGCTGGCCCCTCCGCTCCTCCCGGCCCCTTTGCCGGGTTTGAATTTAGCGTACTGGTGTCTGTATCCGTCTGGCGCCCTCCGTTTGGGCCTGAGGGCCGTTGTGTACCCCTGAGTACTTGGGACTCTCGTTCTATTGAGGTTCCTGACGCAGATTGTTGGGTTTGAATTTAGCGTACTGGTGTCTGTATCCGTCTGGCAACTGGATGGAAATAACAACACTTGGCAAGGTTAGCTTTGCATTCTAAGGGGGAATATATGGCCAAGAGGTACACCTTTCTGGGTTACGACCCCCGCCATCGACTTTTGGCATAAAAAAAATTGGAAACGCCTGGATAACCATGAGCCGCCATGTGGGCATGGCGGCTCATCGCCCGCCCGCCATCGACTTTTGGCATAAAAAAAATTGGAAACGCCTGGATAACCATGAGCCGCCATGCCCACAAATTTTCAGTTACCGTAGTGCTACTTATAGTTCGTGCTACAATAAAATCGGGAGGCACCGCGAATATGTAGCACGTACAAATTCTAAGGTATCCCAAGGGACCACAGCCCCGAAATATCGTACCCTCCGAAGCCGGTCGATCAAACTTCGCAAAAACTAGCTATAGGATTTCAAGGCGGAAATCAGCTCTTAAATACACAAAATATAGTCATAAACGTAGGACATGAACAACGCTGGAAAACGTGCAAGACAGGCAACCCTGCTTCAATGCGGGATGAAACCGCTAGCACCAAACGCTCCGGTGAGCGACCGAGCTGGATTTGCACCAGTTAGGCTTAATGATGCTGTTGTCGAGGCCCAGCGTGAGCGAATGGAGCACGAGGAGGTTGCTAGGCGCGAGCGCAATGCGGTCAATGCTATGGCAGCTGGCGAGGCGAGGCTTGCGCTCACACCGCAGCCTGGCATTCGATCTGTTGGACATCCTCTTCAACAAATCCCAAACACTGTATTGGCCTGGCCGGTTGGTTATTAGGTCGTTGCCACTGGTACTGAACTGTACGATCGGTCCAGAATTTGCTAGGGTGTTTCCAAAGTGCGAAAATGGTGAGAGACCATGAGCCTAAGAGTTCCCGGTGGAGGGAGACTGACTGGAAGCTGCAGTTTAAAAAGCCCCGAAATTTGTATCATGCCCGCAAAATCTGGTCCGGCCTTCCCCGAAATTCAAAGGGCACGTACAAATTTCAAAAAGTTTTTTCACCCCTCCCCGAACAAAGCGATCACGAACTATAAGTAGCACTACGGTAATTCTTCACGCTGGGTGAAAAGATAGCAAAGTAATTCTCATTCTCATTCTCATATTCTAATTTACTTCTAATTAGAAATGATATGAGAAGGATTTTCCTTCTACGGTTAGGAACAACGCTAGTTATATCCGATGCTGCCGTGTACTCCACCTCCTCTAGAGCCGCCTGCACCACCTCCGCCTGAGCTATGGCCACCTGCACCCCCACCCGAGCGGCTGGCAGCATGCTTTAAGGCTTGCTCCTTAACTCCCTCCACCAGTTTCCTGGGCTTCGTCTTGTCACAGAACTTGTCCTCGTTGCACAGAATGCTGAAGCCGCTTCTGACCAAGTTCTTACCACCATTAAAGTCCTGGCTACACTATGTAAGGAACAACCGCAGCAGCAGCAAGGTACGGTCACCCAGGATGGCGCCAATTTGGCGAATAGTTAACTGCAAGCTGAAGCTCTACTGAGTGAAAGGCAGAATGCCTGCAACGAAGGAGCTGAAGCGTGATATACTCGCCACTCGAATACGGTTGTACGACAGTCGCACAGAACCAGACTTCGAGGCTCCGATCGCTTCGCTCCTTCGCATCTAAGTCAACAAACAAGCTGGGTGTTCAAGTTATCATACGCTGTCATCTCAGAATTCAATTATGAGATACACGGCACCTTTTGAGATGAAATTTAGCCCGAGAGGCGTTGATGTGACTTTGAGCTCGGTCAATTGAGGCAGCCAAAGTTGTTTGTGCTCATTTGTGCTCATACGATTTTTGTTGGCTACAGGCGAGATACCTTGCGATAGAGATTGCTCTATATTACCAATAACGCGTTTCATCCGGGCGAGATATTATGTTTGGTCAGTTACACACACACGGACACACAGACACGGCCACATGCACACACACACACACATGGACATGGGCAATCCTACAGGTCGGGGTCCCCCTGGGCGCTTCGCGCTGGGGCCCCTCCCAAAATGCCTAAGGTAAGGGACTGCTGTTACAATGCTGCTGTCGCGCCGTCCGCGACGTTGTGTAACTAGCTAGCTAGGAGGCTTCATGCATAGTTGAAACTGCCTTGCAGATGTTGTGCACCGAGACCATCCATACACCAGTAATGATAATAGCAGTATCCACACGAACTATAAACCGCCATGCAACGAATGCATATATTAATGACAATACTCAAATATGTCCCAGCCAACGCGACACCAGCAGCTATAAACTCATGAAGTTTCACGCCGGCTGGCGGATGCATGTGCATGGATGAATAATTGAACGGTAGGGCATTACTAATTATAATGTCGAAACAGCAGGTGAGGTGTCATAAGCGCTCATACCTGAACAGCTACTGATTATAGTTGCACAGATTGGTAAATGAGGTGATCCATTCACCCCATCTGTCACCGAAAATTAAGGGTGCGTGCCGAGGAAGCATGTCGCAACCAGGCATGGCCATGGGCTGTGTATGTGTGTGAAATAGGGAGTGTAGCTCAACCCGTGGCACTACTACCATGGCAGTCCCTGCCTTCCCTGATGATTTGGGCCGCCCTCATCCTACTGTCCATTTCAACAAAGTCAGTAACTTTTAAATGTTCGGCAACCACCACCATCTAGTGGAATCTGCCGGATCAACGGCGGTGGCCAATCCACTCCCAGTTGTTTGGTTCGCAGGTCACTATAATCCGGTCCATCACCGTCCACTCGCATGTGGGAATGCATCAAAGCGCTTACGAAGTCACTCGTTGCCGGGATTAATCCTAGAACCTTCCGGGCCACTGTGCAGATTTGCTGTGTCTGGAGCGCTTATGTATGAACGTATGCTAGGCCAGTAAAAGCGGAACGAGACAAACATACATCCAGAGCGAGGTTAGCTCAGGCTCTTCATCAAGCATGCATGTGCACACGACAATGCACAATCGCCATGCGCTCTACATTCATCAACATTCCAGTCCGTGCTAATGCAATAATATAACCATTTATACTTGTATTGCACATGTGTAACACAGTGAAGGCGTAACCCGCGGCCGGGATTCTCAGATGGGCCTTGCGTCGATACTTTACCCCTGCTACTAGTAGGCAATGGACATTCTCGGCTAATATTACGAGCACAGGGACCATCCCACCTCACGCTTTTGGCGTTAGTTTAACCTATATACCATGGTAAAGCCGTCTACGGTACCTACTGTTTGTCAGAATCGAACCGCCGACCCGAAATTTATAACAGAACGTACAGTCCAGTCTCGAAATTGTTGCAACACAGCAAAGGCGAAATCCGAGATACTTAGGTATGCCTCGTGTCGTTACAGCATAATTATCTCGTGGGAAGACGCGGGAGGGTGGAATTGGTTGTACAAGCGCGTGCTGGTAGAGGGGGGTGCTGGCAGGCCTAACATGATGTACGATATAACAGGTAAGCCCCGGCCGTACACGCAGGATATGCCGTATCTACCTTTTTAGAACCCACCCGGGGTACCCTGTTGTGATAGTCGTCATCACGTTTGCAGCTTTGACGTAAAAGCAATATCCGAACCTGATCACATTGATGGTGGCATGGGTCTTGTACCACCCGTCGCTGTTGAGTGAGATGCAGGACGAGATCGCATTGCATGCGGCAGCAGCTGCGTAGATGGAGGTCTGCCAGCCAATGTCATTAAAGTTATGATCCACGTCTGGGAACGCGAAGTAGCCGTTTACGGGGGGGCAAACTGCATGGGCAACGATGAGAATATGTAGGCAAGTAGGCAAGTAATTAGCAAGGAGTAGGCAAGAATACACAAGATCGAAGAGGTTTTCGCACGTACAGCAGCAAGCCTAGCTATAGCAAACCTAACATGGTCATTCAGAACATTAGACAAATCGTCTTTGAAGGACAAGGGATCTGAAACCACGTCACTTCGGCTCCAACGAGACACGCACCGTCGCGATTGTTCTCTAGCACTGTGGAAGCTTCCTACAATGCTCACCAGTAGTGCCTGTGAGCGATAGCATATTTGGAGTTTGATCCCTGGTGTAAAAGCAGATTCCTTTGTTCACAAAGTTTACGGAAGACTGATTCTTGTACCAGCCGTCACTGTTGAAGCCTGCGCACGATGGGTTACTGAGGCAGGTACTGGCTGCACTGTAGAAACTGACGTGTCCAAGATCGTCAAGGTTGTGGTCCACATCGGGGTAGGTGGTAAAACCGGTAATCTGTGGGCAAGCTGCATTGCATTCATTGGCACAATAATGCAAGGCACAGCAGGGGGGCACTCAGCTGCATGCAGTATGTATGAGTATGTAAGTCTAGGTGTTATTTCAAACCGAAGTTTGAACCCCCCAAACCTTAAGTTAGGAAACTATTGACCGGTGCATTTTATCGTCGAAAACAGCGTAGAATTGCCTCCTTGTTGAGCGAGGGCCAGCGGTCCGAGTCGCAATACTCCCCGCCGGACGAACAGGCCACAACCAACAGACGACTAAATTTAAATTTGAACAGACGAAGTAAGGCACGCGCTGTATTGATTGCTCCATCTTACCAGTCGAGGATGCAGCTGCAAGGGCTGTTTGCTTGACATAAAAGCAACCTCCGGGCGACGCCCTATTGATATTTGCCTTCAATTTTAACCAACCGCCATCGTTGAATCCCTGACAACAGTTGTTGTTTTTGCACGACATAACTGCTTGTGATGCAGGAATCACATGGTCGTAGTCGTCGAAGTTATGATCCACATCCTTGAAAGCAATAAAGCCCAGCGATGTGTAATCCTGGCACACTGCGGAGGCACAAAGGATGAATGCAGCGGTCCGTCCACACACAGCGGTTCAACAAAACATCATGTATTGGTTCGTAAGGAAATTTCACTACATGCAGGGCACCTGCTCGGCACCTGCTCGGCACCTTGCTTCTTAGTGCTTCTTATGTCTAGGGTGGTGGCTGGGGCTTATAGACAGACCCCG